CGGAGGGGCGTCGAGCCGCCGTCCCGAGGGCGCGAGGGCAGCGCCTGCGCGTTGGCTGGCGCTGCCTAACAGACGGTACGAGTCGAGGCGACGGCGGAGGCCGTGCCGAGAGCGCCGAGCGGGGAGACGTGCCCGCGAGTCTCGGCGCTGCCTGCGAGGCAGCGATAGGGGGGAGCGCGGCGGCCGGCGAGGGCGCCCGCTCGACGCCACACACGACGACGCGTGAGCAGCGTGTCGGTGGGTGAGACGGTAGGTGGAAAACGGAACGGTGGCGATGGCGGCGGCCACGCTGGTGCTGGCCCGAGTCATGTCGAGGCGAGCAGCTTGGCTGCCGCCGCCGCAGCCACGAGGCTGCGTTCGCGTGCCCGAGGCCCGGCAGGGGCGGCGTGGAGCCGCCGTGCCGAGGGCGCGAGGGCAGCGCCTGCGCGTTGGCTGGCGCTGCCTAACAGACGGTACGAGTCGAGGCGACGGCGGAGGCCGTGCTGAGAGCGCCGAGCGGGGAGACGTGCCCGCGAGGCTCGGCGCTGCCTGCGAGGCAGCGCTAGCGGGGAGCGTGGCGGCCGGCGAGGGCGCCCGCTCGACGCCACACACGACGACGCGCGAGCAGCGTGTCGGTGGGCGAATCGTGAGACGGTAGGAGAAAGACGGGACGATGGCGATGGCGGCGGCCACGTTGGCGCCGGCCCCAACCATGTCGAGGCGAGCAGCCTGGCTGCCGCCGCCGCAGCCGCGAGGCTGCGTTCGCGTGCCCGAGGCCCGGCGGAGGGGCGTCGAGCCGCCGTGCCGAGGGCGCGAGGGCAGCGCCTGCGCGTTGGCTGGCGCTGCCTAACAGACGGTACGAGTCGAGGCGACGGCGGAGGCCGTGCCGAGAGCGCCGAACGGGGCTACGTGCCCGCGAGGCGCGGCGCTGCCTGCGAGGCAGCGCTAGGGGGAGCTTGGCGGCTGGCGGGGGCGCCCGCTCGACGCAACACACGACGACGCGCGAGCAGCGTGTCGGTGGGCGAATCGTGAGACGGTAGGAGAAAGACGGAACGATGGCGATGGCGGCGGCCACGTTGGCGCCGGCCCGAGCCATGTCGAGGCGAGCAGCTTGGCTGCCGCCGCCGCGGCCGCGAGGCTGCGTTCACGTGCCCGAAATTCGGCGGAGGGGCGTCGAGCCGCCGTGCCGAGGGCGCGAAGGCAGCGCCTGCGCGTTGGCTGGCGCTGCCTAGCTGACGGTACGAGTCGAGGCGACGGCGGAAGCCGTGCCGAGAGCGCCGAGCGGGGCTACGTGCCCGCGAGGCGCGGCGCTGCCTGCGAGGCAGCGCTAGGGGGGAGCGTGGCGGCCGGCGAGGGCGCCCGCTCGACGCCACACACGACGACGCGCGAGCAGCGTGTCGGTGGGCGAATCGTGAGACGGTGCGAAATACGGAACGGTGGCGATGGCGGCGGCCACGCTGGTGCTGGCCCGAGCCATGTCGAGGCGAGCAGCTTGGCTGCCGCCGCCGCGGCCGCGAGGCTGGGTTCGCGTGCCCGAGGCCCCGCAGAGGCGTTGTCGAGCCGCCGTGCCGAGGGCGCGAGGGCAGCGCCTGCGCGTTGGCTGGCTCTGCCTAACAGACGGTACGAGTCGAGGCGACGGCGGAAGCCGTGCCGAGAGCGCCGAGCGGGGCTACGTGCCCGCGAGGCGCGGCGCTGCTTGCGATGCAGCGCTAGGGGGGAGCGTGGCGGCCGGCGAGGGCGCCCGCTCGACGCCACACACGACGACGCGCGAGCAGCGTGTCGGTGGGCGAATCGTGAGACGGTAGGAGAAAGGCGGAACGATGGCGATGGCGGCGGCCACGATGGCGCCGGCCCGAGCCATGTCGAAGCGAGCAGCTTGGCTGCCGCCGCCGCGGCCGCGAGGCTGCGTTCGCGTGCCCGAGGCCCCGCAGGGGCGTTGTCGAGCCGCCGTGCCGAGGGCGCGAGGGCAGCGCCTGCGCGTTGGCTGGCGCTGCCTAATTGACGATACGAGTCGAGGCGACGGCGGAAGCCGTGCCGAGAGCGCCGAGCGGGGCTACGTGCCCGCGAGGCGCGGCGCTGCTTGCGATGCAGCGCTAGGGGGAGCGTGGCGGCCGGCGAGGGCGCCCGCTCGACGCCACACACGACGACGCGCGAGCAGCGTGTCGGTGGGCGAATTCCTCCAAACATACCGTGTA